GAGGTCTTTGTGACCGAACATCCGGACCCTACGGGGTGAAAAATCGTGTGTGCAAGTATTATTTTTACTTTTTGCACTTATATTTTGGTTTGTGATCTTCGATCTTCTAAATCTGTTGATTTGGGACCTAACAGTTGCTAAGCCCCTTTCTTTTACCTTTTGATCAGTGTGTGAGTAGTCCTCATGGAGTTGTGTACATGGCAGCAAAGAAACATTTTTTGGGGGTGGGAGGAGGATCGGAGCGTCTTCTCTCTATGGTTGAAAAAGATGGTGAGCTTCATCTTGTTAGATATCTAGTCTGCACTACAATAAAGGAGAGTGGATCATTTTACTATTTCATCATTTCAATACAACGTTTCATTTCTGAGGCTGATAGAAACTTGTCTTCTGATCAGTGTTGATGCACTATATCATACTTACAATTGATTGAGTTCTGTCAAATGAACTTTTGTTTCAGTTACTTTTGGTTTTTCCTCATTCCCTTTTCAGTTTATACTTATCTTGTAGGCACTTTCACCGCTTCTCTGGTCGCTAATGGTTCCTCTAAAGTTCTCGAGGTGTGGAAGCTTAATCTCAAGTGATTTTCTCTCTACATCAAATAGGGATCTCAAGCTTTGGCTGTTTCATAGTAATCATAAAATTTCATTACACGAGTGTACATGCTTATTTATCGCTATGTAGCAAAGAAATATGTTGAAGTTTATAATTGTCAGAAGAATCTAACTTGTACTCGCTGGCTGATACATGTCGGATCGTAGTATGGGACAAGCAATGAAGATTTGTTTAGTGTATGTTTAGTACGCAATATTGAATACGATTGGATATTGTAATGTAATTCAATAGTAACCAAATTGTCTATTTAAAAAAATTTTTGAGGGTAAAATTGACTTTTTTACAGAATTTGATTGAAGTTTTCAATTTTAATTAAGCGGTTGTTTGGGAGCCATTTTTTCCTCATTTTAAGAAGAAAAGAGACCGTTATAAATTCGTTCATGCCATTATATCTGACACAAATTTGACTGCTAACTGCACAATGCTTTTCATTTTATAGTTCCGCATTTGTGTTTTGAGTATTCAAATCGGGTGGCTGGCTATGAAATTGAAAGAAATGCACAAATAACAAAATAAGGGTAAAATAGAGAAAATATCATAAATATCAGACATTATTATAAAGAGCGTCATACATGGTGACCCACTTCTTGTGATATAAAAATGCATTTTGGGAGCAAAAATGGCTCTGAAACAAGAGCTTAGCTTTAAAACTTGAAGGCTGAACAGCTAAATAAGAAAAGATTAAGGACTCAAATAAA